CAAACAAGAGTAGCGATAATTCTTCGCTTTACATCTATTTCGGTGTAATTCATACTATATTTACCAGTCATCCAATTAATACAACAAAAATACTACTATCAGTATAACCTCATACAATTTCATCACATAAATGAAGTATATATTCATCTGATAACATAATCCTACTTGTAAACCACTATTTAAGGCTTAGAGATTGAACGTGTTTGGTAGAAAAACAGAAAGAAGGAGAAAAAGGAAGGGGGTGATTTGGGAGTGGTGGAAACTGGAGTTGGGTCTGTTGATGACACTGGTGGAATGCTGAAAGATAGATCGGTTGATGAAAAGCTAGAAAATGGTGGCATGGTGTGCTTAGGAAGAGATGGAATGGATGTGTGCAATGGTGGAAGACTTCCTTTAGGCAATGATGGAATTACAGACAAATCCCGTGAATCCAACAAAGATGGTTTTTGCAAAGATGGCATGGTAGGGTTTGAGAGTGTGGTTGTTTAAAGAAGATGGTGTGCCTCCACCTTCATGCTTGACATTATTGTGACAATGAGTAAAGTTAGAATGAAGAATTTGGAGGAAGCCATCAATGATAACTTGAAGATCGTATTGAGAGAAGTTGGTTTGGGATTTGATGAGAATGAAAGGGGGATTGATGGTTTATATAGGTTGTGAGAGATTAGTAAAAATCTCTATATTTTAGTTTGTAAAAACTATTTTGTGGTTATATCTGTTGGGTAATCATAAAATTTCAAAATTTTAATTATTGCCTTCAATGCATTCATTATTAATTATGAAATGAGTTTTTATTCAACTATTTGACATATTAATTAACTTATGAATTTTAATTCTACAAAAGGAATGCACCTGAATAAATTTTATATAGCCGCAAAAATAAATAGATAATTTCTTTAAAAATAAAAATTATATTAATTATAATTTTATATTAATTAATTTAGTTAAAGTTATGTTTAATAATAATTTTATTTCATAATTTTTTTTTATGAATAATGAATCAGTCGACATGTAAAAAACACATGAAAGTCCAGTGATTTAAATTGTTTTGATTTATTCATGTTTTAATTTATCAACTTGATACCTATTTGCTTAGATGTTTTTTTTTACCTATCAGTTTGGCATGCTCATCATATGTAATTTTTAAGGATGTGTTCTAAATTAAAAAAGAAATAAGGTCGCAATGGAATGAAAGGGAAACGAATATTAAGATGTGACATTAAAGTGGTAAAATCAATTTTCTTAATCCATAATTTTAAGAGACATAACACCACGTATCTCGCACCGCGACAAATTTGTTTTTAGAAATAATATATAGACCTGGGAACAAAATCTGCAGGGGCCTATTGCTACACCACCTTTCATGTAAAAACCATGATAATGAACCATCACCAAGGATGATAAAAATCAGATCCGCGAACGACTCTCCTCCAAGATTATTACCAAGATTCAAAACATCTCTCCACCATAATGATGCATTTCTTGATGAAATTGCAGGCAGCTAGTAAACAATATTCTTAGCGAAGCCACCATATCGCCCTGCTAGAATTTCAACCCAAATGGCATGTTTCTCCACTAAAAACCTCCACAGCCACTTGGTTTTCAAGGCAGTATTAAAGAGAGAGATATCACTAATACCTAATCCACCTTCATTTTTTGTTTTACAAACAGAAGCCGAACTTACCCAATAAGCTCGGTGTAATTCTTCGCGCTGAACCACAAAATTTTTCGTTGAATTAAGATCAATTCATGCAAAACTTTGCGTAGTGCCCTATAGAAAGACATAAATTGAATAGAAAGGTTCATCAAAACAGTATTGATCAAAGTCACACTACCTTCTATAGATAACAGCCTTCCAATCCACGGGGACAATCTCGCATTCATGCCTTCATTGACAGGTTTCCAAAATGCCTCATGCCTAAGATTTCCATCTACGACTAACCCAAGAAACTTCAACGGAATCAAATCAATTTTCCAGTCTAGAAATTGCTCTACGCCTTTAAGGAGTGACTCTCCAGTTCCCACACCATATAAATTACTCTTCCTTATGTAGATTTTTAAACTAGACAGAATTTTGAAACACTTGAGAATAGATTTAAAAAACCATATATTACCCCAAGCACCATCGCATATCAACACCGTATCATCTGCGTACTGCAAAAGATTATAAGATACACCTTCAATAACCTCAAATACTCTTAGGATACCTGCCTCCACAGCTCTTCGAACCAATATTGCCAAGCCTTCCACCATAATGGTAAATAGAAAGGGAGACAAGGGATCACCTTGTCTTAATTCCCTCATGACCTTAAAATCTTGAGTTTGACTACCGTTAACAATAACTGACATATAACTATTCAAAACACCGTCCTTAATCCATTTCAACCATTTACTTCCAAAACCCATGGCTGCCAGCATGTACCTTAGATAGCCCCAGTTCACATAATCATATGTCCTTGTAAAGTCTACCTTGAGAAGGACACAACCTTTATTCTTCCTCTTTGCAAGATGAATGATTTCGTTCACCACGACGACTCCGTCTACTAGCTTCCTGCCCTTGATTAAAGCAGTTTGAGAACTTGCAATAATGTTTCCCATAACACCTCTAGTCCTAGAGGCCAATAACTTGGATAAAATCTTATACACACACCCAAAAAGACAAATGGGCCTATAATCATCCAATTGTTGAGGGTTATCAAGCTTAGGGATCAAAGTAATAAATAAAGATGTTAGAGCCTTAGGCCACAAAGCTTTATAGTAAAATTGTCCGGTCCAAAGCTACTATTACCTTCACAATCGAATACCACCTTCCTGATTTCGCCTTCACTAAAAAATTCCTCCAATCTAGCACTTTCTTCCAAAGAAATTCTAGCAATTCCATTCAACCCTAACCTTGGTGTGCGCATTGGTTTATTTTGGAACCTATCTTCAAAATGACCCTTCATGCAATTCTTAACGAAATTTACGCCTTCCACAAGTTTCGAGAATACCATAACAAAATTAATGGAATTCCTTTTATTCTATTGCCGAAAAATTGAATGAAAGTACTTAGAATTCTGATCACCTTCTTGTATCCACCTAACTCTTACTCAATGATTTTATTTTTACAAATATTAGTTTCTCTCTTCATCCATGAAAATTTTAACTCTTTTTATACAAAAGTTCAATTTGTCTTTAAATAAATATGAGACTTTGAACTTCAATTGTATAAAACTATCTTGTGATTTTTCAATTTCTCTTTACAAATATGACTTTTACAAATTTGAAGATTCTTTGACTATGCAAGATTGAGTTACAATTGAATAATAATGTGAGTTTGAACTTCAATTGTATAAAACTATCTTGTGCTGAAGTTAGGTTTGTCAGTTTGATTAGAGGAAAGCAAAGCAAATTTGATCTTTAACCATTTTTATGGATGTCAATTTTTTTATAAGAAATTTTCAAAAATATTGTATTTTCATTATTGTTGTTATTTTGTTCCAATCAATTAAAAACTCCAAAATATCTTTTTTATCCAAAAAGTGTCTTATTTGTACTAGTTGGTATTAAATGCAATAATCCTGAAAAAGATAATAAATAACATGATACCAGTTTACACACTACTAAAATTATCCATCAAGAACTAATTAAGTTATTTATTGTTATATGATTTCGAAAGAAAAAGACAGAATAGTTGTATCAATAATATAAATTCAAAAGTTCAAAGCAATAGATCCAAATTCCTAAGTAGAAAATAAAAATAAGTTCCTAATACGAATAATAAACTCATCATTTTAAATTGGGGTTGTAGTCGCGCATGCGGTTGCATGTGTTGCTATTGCGATCATTGCAGTTGATGCGACGCGTATTGCGACCATTGCAGCGTGAAAAATATTTGAAATACACCATTGAAAAACTCATGATATTAATCTTTTACATTGGAAATGAGATATGTAAATTGAGTTTTTTATTCTCAAAGTTTGAGTTATGATGAAAATATGTGAAGAAACATGGGTTAAGTTGTTTGATGTGAATTCTAATGAAGTTGGACGCATGATTTCAAATCACACCACAATTGCAGTACAATGAGAATGCGGTGACTATCGCATTAGCAATATCATAGCCACAATTCCAATTGCAGATCATAATTTAAAACCATGAGTATATTATTCGTATTGAAAGATTTTGCTTTGAAATTTATTAGAAGGAAAGGTATGGTATATGGTTTTATATAGTGTGAAAGAGATTTGAAGGAGATAGTTTGGTGAACTATTAAAAGCTTTTGGAATCTTAAGTTACTACAACTTCCCGTGTCCTATTTCGACAAATAAGAATTTATTTTATTATGTGCTACAATTAGAAACTAACTACTCCTAAATTTGCTTTGATGCATATTCTTAGCACATATTGGAATTCAAACTTTAGATTTTGAGAGAAGAACTCTTTCAAGTCTCAAGTCTTCATCATTTGTTTTCATATTTTAAAATTGTTCTATGATTAAATTAGTTTCAGTATTTCTACAAAAGATCTCTGCATTTGATAAAAATATTCAACAATTTATCTCTTAAAAGGATAGATATTTGATCCTCCACAAAATCTGTTGTTGAAAACAACATCGAAAATAAAAATACATCATAGGAATTCAATATTATTATAATATATATAAAATATAAATGTGTAATGCAATATTATTTTCAATACAAATGAAAATAAATGTGTAATGCAATATTATTATAATATATATAAAATATAAAGAATATTGTCAAATAACTTTAATATATATAAAATACAAACAATAGTGTCAAATAACTTGAAAAAAAAATATAAATAAATTTTATCATCCAAAACTGAGTAGCGACAATTGTCCGCTTTACATCAATTTCGGTGTAATTCATACTATATTTATCAGTCATCCAATTAATAGAACAAAAATACTACTATCAGTATAACCTCATACAATTTGATCACAAAAATGAGGCATATATTTAACTGATTACATAATCCAACTTGTAAACCACTGTTTAAGGCTTAGAGTTGGAAAGTGTTTTGGAGAAAAATGGAAAGGAGAAAAAGGAAGGGGGTGAATTGGGAGTGGTGGAAACTGGAGTTGGTGCTGGTGATGACACAGGTGGAATGCTTAAAGATGGATCGTTTGATGGAAAACTAGAAAATGGTGGAAGACTTTCTTTAGGTAATGATGGAATTATAGACGAATCTTGTGAATCCAACAAAGATGATTTTGGTAAAGATGGAATGGTAGGGTTTGAAAGTGTGGTTGTTTGAAGAAGATGGCGCGCCTCCACCTTTATGCTTGACATTGTTGCGACAATGAGCAAAGCTAGAATGAAGGATTTGGAGGAAGCCATCGATGATAACTTGAAGATCGTATTGAGAGAAGTTAATTGGTTTGGGATTTGATGAAAATGAAAGAGAGGATTGATGGTTTATATAGGGTGTGAGAGATTAGTAAAAATTTCTATATTTTAATTTGCTAAAAGTATTTTGTGGTTAGATTTGTTGGCTAATCATAGCATTTCAAATTTTTAATTATTGCCTTCAATGAATTCATTATTAATCATGAAAGTTGGGTTTTTATTCAACTATTTGACATATTAATTAACTTATGAATTTCAATCCAACAAAAGGAATGCACCTGAATAAATTTTGTATATCCGCAAAAATAAATAGATAATTTCTTAAAAAAGTAAAATGATATTAATTATAATTTTATGTTAATTAATTTAGTTAAGGTTATGTTTAGTATTAATTTTATTTCATCAATTTTTTTATGAAATATTGACTCAGTTGACATGTAGAAAACACGTGGAAGTCTAGTAATTTAAATTGTTTTAATTTATTCATGTTTTAATTTATCAACTATATACCTATTTGTTTAGATATTTTTACTTAAATATCAGTTTGGCATGTTCATCATATGTAATATGTAAGGGATGTGTTCTTAGTTACGAAAGAAATAAGGTTACAATCGAATGAAAGGGAAATGGATATTAAGATATGAAATTAAAGTGGTAAAATCAATTTTCTTAAAAATCGCATCCATAATTTTAAGAGACACAATATTCATTGTTATGTATTAGTCTTTGGACTCTTTGTAAACCAAATATGCATAGTTAACACAAGAAAAGGTGCTTATATACCCAACATTTACTTCACGAACTCATAACAAATCTTGTGACACTAATTTGTATTTGTTTTTCTCTTTATAATTCCCTTATACTTTTATACAAGCGGTAACCCACATGTTCAGTTTTATTTTATATAAGCAAGATTTTCATTCATTAAAGGTATTGAGGGAATCTTAACCCAATACATCCACCAAAAATTAAAGTACACCAAACAACTTATATGAAAAGCCACAGACATTTACTCTATTCGTAATAGTTGCAATTACTTCTACGATTTGGTTGCATAGTTAACCACCACCAAGTAAAGCCACAATCCTTTGTATATTCATATTGGGATCTCCAAATGCAATCATATCGGGATCTCAAAATGCGTCATTGTACATAATTTGTTTTTTATCCACTAGATACACCCACACACCACCAGCCATATACCATCCGCGCCCGCCAATTACACTTTTCCTTTCAACTTTAGGATCCAAACTAACAAATGACTACAACACGTATCTTCTATAACGTTTTCCAACTCGAACCAAGCGTAAACATATCTCCACATAGTCCTGGTTTTAGAGCAATTTAGAAAAAGATGAGTAGAGTCTTCACTTTGCATAAAACAAAATACAGAAACCATATCGTGCAAGTTTGTAATGTTGCCATGATTATCCAAGTTAGGACGCGTAGGAAGCCTCACAATAAGTAATCTCCAGCCCATAATCTTAACCTTGGATGGAATACATGATTTCCAAATGACCAGCACCACCAGTTTACACATCTCATCTACCTCAAATCCTGTTGTATCTGCATTTATCCTCTGATATACGACTTCATCGAAAACTGTTTGGAGACACCATATGGCCAGAATGCCCTGTCAAAAGCAAGCTTAATCTGCGAAACTTCCTGCAGCAAAGAAATAAGGTTGCTGTACTCCTCCTTCAGGGTTTCATCATTCTCCCACCCTTGTAAACCCACCTACCAAATCCACTTTTCCCCAACCCAACACCCCATACCATGCACCACGACAAATTTGTTTTTAGAAATAACATATACACCTGGGAGCAAAACCTACAGGGGCATATTGCTACACCACCTTTCGTGCCAAAACCGTGCCAATTAACCATCACCAAGGATGAAAAAAATCAGATCCGCGAACGACTCTCCTCCAAGATTATTACCAAGAATCAAAACATCTCTCCACCATAATAATACATTTCTTGATAAAGTTGCAGGCAGCTAGGAAACGATATTCTTAGAGAAGCCACCATATCGCCCTGCTAGAATTCCAACCCAAAGGGCATGTTTCTCCACTAAAAATATACATAACCACTTGGTTATCAGGGCAGTATTAAAGAGAGAGATATCTCTAATGCCTAATCCACCTTCATTTTTTGTTTTCCAAACAGAAGCCCAACTTACCCAATAAACCCTGTTTTAATTCTTCTCGTCGAACCACAAGAATTTTCGTTTAATTAAGATCAATACATGCAAAACTTTGTGTGGTACCCTGTTGAAAGAAACAAATTGAATAGAAAGGATCATCAAAACAATACTGATCATAGTCACACGAACTCCTATAAATAACAGTCTTCCAATCCACAAGGACTATCTCGCTTTCAATCCTTCAAGGACAGGATTCTAAAATGCCACACGCCTATGATTTCCATCAACGACTAACCCAAGAAACTTAAACGGAATTGAATCAATTTTGAAGTCTAGGAATTGCTATGTGCCTTTAAGGAATGATTCTATGATTCCCACACCATATAAACTACTCTTCCTTATGTTGATTTTCAAACCAGACAGAATTTTGAAACCCTTGAAAATAGATTTAAAATCCCATATATCACCTCAAGCACTGTCGCATATCAACATCGTATCATCCGCGTACTGTAGTAGATTGAAAGGTACACCTTCAAAAACCTCAATGGTAAATTGGAAGGGAGATAAGGGATCACCTTGTCTTAATCCCTTCATCACCTTAAAATCTTGTGTTTGACTACCGTTAACAATAACTGACATATTACTACTTAAAACACTGTCCTTAATCCATTTCAACCATTTACTTCCAAAACTCATGACTGCCAACATGTACCTTAGATAGCCCCAGTACACACAATAATAATTCCTTGTAAAGTCTACCTTGAGAAGGAAAAAACCTTTAGTCTTCCTCTTTGCAAGATCAAGGATTTTGTTCACCACAACGACTCAGTCTACTAGCTTCCCGCCCTTGATGAAAGAAGATTGAGAACTTGCAATAATGTTTCCCATAACACCTTTAATCCTAGATGCCAATAACTTGGACAAACCTTATACACAAACCAATAAGAGAAATGGGCCTATAATCATCCAATTGTTGAGGGCTATCAAGCCTAGGGATAAAAGTAATGAACGAAGATGTTAGAGCCTTAGGCCACAAAGCTTCATAGTAAAATTGTTGAATGCACCGAACCACATCCGCACCCAAGACATCCCATGTTTTTTATAAAAATTCAATGTTAAAATCATCTTGAGCCAGGGCTTCTATTAACTTCACAATCGAATACCACATCCCTGATTTCATCTTCACTAAAAACTTCCTCCAATCTAGCACTTTCTTCCAAAGAAATTCAAGCATTTACATTCTACCCTAACCTTGGTGTGCGCATTGGTTTATATTGGAACCTATCTTCAAAATGACCCTTCACGCAATTCTTAACCAAATTCACGTCCTCCGCAACTTCCGAGAGTTTACCATGATAGAATTTATGGAATTCCTTCTATTCTGTTGCCGGAAAATTGAATGAAAGTTCTTATAATTCTGATAACCTTCTTGTATCCACCTAACTCTCACTCAATGTTTATGTTTTTACAAATATTAGTTTTTATCTTCTTCCAAACTATCTTGTGATTTTTCAATTTCTCTTTACAAATATGGCTTTTATGAATTTGAAGATATTTTGAATATGCAAGATTGAATTACAATTGCATAATAATGTGAGTTTGAACTTCCATTGTATAAAACTATCTTGTGTTGAAGTTAGGTTTGTATGTGTGATTAGAGGAAAGCAAAGCAAATTTGATATTTAACCATTTTAATAGATGTCTTTTTGCTCATCGAGTATTTGTGAATTTTTTTATAAGAAAATTTCAAAAATATTGTACTTTCGTTATTGTTGTTATTTTGTTCCAATCAATTAAAAACTCCAAAATATCTTTTTTATCCAAAAAGTGTCTTATTTGTACTAGTTGGTATTAAACGCAATAATCCTGAAAAAGATAATCAACTTATCATAACATAATACCATTTTACACACTACTAGAAATTGTCCATCCAGAACTAATTAAGTTATTTGCTGCTATAAGATTTCAAAAGAAAAAGACACAATTGTTGTATCAATAATAGAAATTCAAAATTTCAAAGAAATAGATCCAAATTCCTAAGTCGAAAATAAAAATAAATTCCTAATACGAATAATATACTTATCGTTTTAAATTGTGGTTGTAGTCGCGCATTCGTTTGCGTGTGTTGAGATTGTGGTACAATTCGAATGCGTTGACTATCACATCAACAATAATATAGCCATAATTCCAGTTGCAGAATATAATTTAAAACCATGAGAACATTATTCGTATTATTCGTATTGAAGGTTTTGCTTTGAAATTTTATTTGAAGGAAAGGGATGGTATATGGTTTTATATAGTGTGAAAGAAATTTCAAGGAGATAGTTTGGTGAACTATTAAGAGCATTTGGAATCTTAAGTTACTACAACTTCCCGTGTCCTATTTTGAAAAATAAGATTGAAGGAGATAGTTTGGTGAACTATTAAGGGCATTTGGAATCTTAAGTTACTACAACTTCCCGTGTCCTATTTTGACAAATAAGAATTTATTTGGTTATGTGCTACAATTAGAAACTAACTACTCCTAAAGTTGCTTTGATGCATATTCTTAGTACATATTGGAATTCAAACTTGAGATTTTGAGAGAACAACTATTTCAAGTCTCAAGTCTTCATCATTTGTTTTCATATTTTAAAATTGTTCTATGATTAAATTAGTTTCAGTATTTCTACAAAAGATCTCTGCATTTAATAAAAATATTCAACAATTTATCTCTTAAAAGGATAGATACTTGATCCTCCACGAAATCTGTTGTTGAAAACAACATCGAAAATAAAAATACATCATAGGAATTCAATATTATTATAATATATATAAAATATTACTATAAGTGGTTTAAAAGTGAA